ATTCTTGTGTGAGACTCAGGCTTTCAAGTTTAGGTCTGCTTCTTTTTGTGAACTTTATGTGTCTTTGTGGTTTACTTTTTGGGCCTAAAATGCTGGTTCATCTCAGTTCCCGGTTCTCTCTTTTGATTTTATATTGGAGTGGCCAGATTGCTTTTGTCTTCAGGAGTTCCCACAGACGCCCAATTCAGATGAGGGTCAGATGTTTTCTGTCTTTCTCCCAAGGTCTGAATCCCTCCAGGAATGATTTTGGCCTCAGGAATTTGGGGGTTGGACTCCTTGGTAGCTTGGCTCAGGAAAGATGGTGGTCTAGGGCAGCTGGTGGCCGTGACATCCAGAGATTCAAAGGTAGATGGGGTGGGAAGAGGCCACAAGGACTCCTGGGGACTGCACTGAGGAGCTGTGTTGGTCCTGGAGAGAGGCCTGCAGGTAGGAGATGGATATAGATCTTCTTTAAATGTCTGGTAGAATTCTGCTGTGAATTCATCTGGGCCTGGGCTTTTTTTAGGTGGGAGGTTTTGTATTAATGTTTCAATTTCCTTGTATGTTATGGATCTGTTTAAGCTGTTGGTCTCTTCTTGGTTTAGCTTTGGTGATTCTCATGATTTTAGATATTCATCCATTTCTTTTAGGTTTTCAAATTTTATAGCGTATAGGTTTTAGAAGTATTCCCTTACGATATTCTGGATCTTTTTATTGTCTGTTGTGAGGTTTCCCCTCTCATCTCTGATTTTGTTGATTTGGAGTTGCTCTTCCTTCCTTTTGGTTAACCTAGGCTAAGGGTCTGTCTGTCTTGTTTATCTTTTCAAAGAACCAGCTCTTTGATTCATTGATTCTTTGTGTTATTTTCTTTATTTCTGTTTCATTAATTTCTGCTGTGATTTTTGTTATTTTTTCTTGTCTGCTGGGTTTGGCCTTCATTTGTCATTGTCTTTCAGGAGTTTTGAGTTGTAATGTTAAGTCATTTATTTGTTTTCCTTCTGATTTTTTAATGTAGGCCCTTAGAGATGTTTCCCTCTAGGAATGCTTTTAAAGTGTCCCAGAGGTTTTGTTGTATTGTATTGTCCTTTTCATTTCATTACAGGAATACTTTTATTGCTTTCTTTATTTTTCCTTTGGCCCACTTATCATTCCAGAGTGTGGTGTTTAATCCCCATGAGTTTGTGTATTTACTAGGAGTTCTCCTGGTGGTGTTTTTAAGCTTTATTGCATTGTGGTCTGATGGAATGCATGGAATTATTTCACTTTTTTGTACTTGTTGAGGTTTGTTTTGTGTTCCAGTACGTGGTCAATTTTTGGAGAAAATTCCATGGGGTGCTGAATAAAAAGTATATTCTTTGCTGCTTGGGTGGAATATTCAGTAGGTGTCTGGTCCATTAGATGTATGGTATTGTTTAATTCAGATGTCCCTCTGTTTTTCCTTTGTCTGTTTGACCTATAGAATGGAGACAGCAGGGTACTGAAGTCCCCAAATATTGCTGAGCTGTGGTTAATCTGTGTCATAAAGTCCTGTAGTACTTTTTAAATAAAGTTTGGTGCACTAGAGTTCATGATTGTAATATCTTCTTGGTTAATTGTTCCTTTGATCAGAATAAAGTGACCCTCTTTATCTCTGTGTCATAAAGTCCTGGAGTATTTTTTTATGAAGTTTGGTGCACCAGAGTTCATGATTGTAATATTTTCTTGGTTACTTGTTCCTTTGATCAGAATACAGTGATCTTCTTTATCTCTTCTGATTAGTTTCAGTTTGAAGTCTATTTTGTCAGATACTAGAATTGCAACACCTGCTTTTTTCTTAGGCAAATTTGCTTGGAATATTTTTTTCCATCCTTTCACCTTCAGGTAATTCCTATCTTTGAAGATGAGATGGGTTTCTTAAAGACAACAAAAACATAGATTTTCTTTCTTAACCCATTCAGCTAGTGTGTGTCTTTTGACTGGGGAATTCAGTCCATTGTTAAAGTTATTATTGAAAGATGTGTATTGATTCCTGTCCTTTTAATTTCTGTTTGCATTCTTGGTCTAACTTTATGTTTCCACAGTTATACCTTCATTTAGTTTCTTTCTGTTGCCCCTTGAGTATAGTCATTCCTTTGTTCAGCTCCTTGTATTGCTTCAGGAACTCTCTGAAGGGCTGGTTTTGTGGACATGAATTCTTTCAGCCTATTTATATCATGGAAGATTTTTCTTTCCCCCTTCAACTATAATAGACATTTTTGCTGGGTAAAGTATTCTGGGCTGGCATCTATGGTCATTTAGAACTGGGGATACTTTGGTCTAGGCTTTTCTGGCTTTCATAATTTGCATTGAAAAGTCAGCTACAATCCTGATGGGCTTTCCTTTATATGTAACTTGTTTTTCTTTTGCAGCTTTCCATATTCTCTCTTTGTTCTGTACATTTAGTGTTTTTACTATTATATGCCATGGGGAGTTTCTTCTCTGGTCCTGTCTATTTGGTGTTCTGTATGCTTCTTGTATTCCTATGGGCATGTCTTTCTTTAATATTGGGAAAATTTCTTCCACAATTCTGTAGAAGATCTAGTCAATATTATTTACCTGAGGTTCTTCTCCTTCCTCTATGATTTATGAGGGTAAATCTATGATGCATAAATTAGACTTTTTCGTGGTGTCCCACATTTCCTGCATATTCCATTCATGTATTCTTTTAAATTTTTCATAATCTTTAGTTGAGCATTCTAATTCTTCAATTTTATCATCCAGTCTTGATATTCTGTTTTCCATTTCATTCATTCTATTGCTGAGGTTTTTCTCTGGATTTTTCTAATTGGCTTATTGTTTCACTTCTTCATTTCATCTTATGTTTTCTTCAATATTTCTATATCTTTTGTGAATTCAGTCAGAAGTTTATTCCTATCTTCTTTTATTTCTTTGTGTGTTTTTAAAACTCATTGAATTATTTGATCATGTTTATGATTGTTCTTTTAAATTCTGTGTCCTGGGTTATTGCTAGTTGATTCTCATTGTAGAACTCTTCTTTGGGACTGTTGGTGTTTGGTGGGGACATATTATTTGGGTTTTTTATATTATTATTTTGTTGTGATTTTGGCGTGTGGATTTCTTTTGTTGTTTTTGATTCTGGTGTGAGATTCAAGCTTTCCTTTGTTGAGTTGAAGTTTGTTTCTGTTTGTATACTTGATGTGCCTTGTTTGTTTTCATATTTGGTATGAAAAACGTGTTGGTCTAGGCTTCAGGGTCTCCCTTTTGATTTTATATTGGGGGTAGCAGATGACTCTAGTCCAGCTACTCAGGAATTCCTGCAGAGGCCCAAGTCAGGTGAGAATTTGATGTTCTCAGGCTTCTTCCTAAGGTCTGAGTACCTCTAGCCAGTAGGCACAGCCAGCACAATTTGGGAAACTTGCTAGGCAGAGGCTGGATTCAGATGGTCTCAGAAGGTCTGCAATAGTCTGGGCCCTACTAAAGGGCAGGGACGCTTAGCCCTGCAGCAGTGGGAGGAGCTGCAGACAGTCCCTATGCAGGGGGACAGGCATGGTGTGATTTGGAGCACTCACCACCATGTGGAACTAAGAGAGTAGTCCAGAGACCTGGGGTGCTAAGAGCAAAAGGGGCCAGTTCCCAAAGCTAGAAGAACAGGATGTGAGGTCAGGGATAATTGAGTTGCTCATCAAAGCACCATAAATAAAATATTTTTAAAAGGTGGGTGGAGGTGAAACATTCCATTCTGCAAGGAAGTTCCTTGAGCTTGGGGAGTAATCAACTCAATAACTTCAGGAAATTCCTAAAAATGACTATATTCACTAGCCCCCACCTACTCGAATATATATATGAGCCCTAAGGACTGCTAAGAGACACTATCAACCAGGCAAACTTCCTAGAAGTCTCTCAGACAAGCTAAGATGCCTGGAAGAGACACCCTCCAACCTGTCAAGATGCATGCAAATTGTCTGGTACTCTCCAGATTTCCAGCTTTTGAGAGCTATCACCTGTGCAACAGTGGCCTTTGGTGGTACAGCTATCTTTATGTCATTTATACTCTTGTAAGTAATCCTTCACCCACACTTCTGTAAGTAACACCAATAAAACTCATTGGTTCATCAAGTTGGATTTTGATAATATCCTTATTTTGATTTGTCATTGGTTCACTATCTGGGTGTGTATCATGTTGCCCTAGGAATAATGTCACACAACACCACCTATCATTTATGCATGTTTAACAAAATGAGAAAAGCATAACAAGCAAAAATTGGAAATTTATTTTTCTGGTGGCAATGTTTACAAATATTACCAATAATACAGCTTTGGGTTAATAAAATGTGTCATATTCTTATGATAGAAAATCACAGAGCAGCATGAAATTAATAAAACAGCTACATTTATGCATCAGCAAATCCACAAGATATATTAAGTATAAAAAATAAAATCAAGTTAAAAATGTTGTCTATAATATAACAGCATTTATAGAAAAATTAAAACAAATAGTCTTTTATGTTGATTAAGGGTTATACATGTGTTATAAAAGTATAAAGTCATGCTTGAGAAAGAGAAGTAGCAAATTCATAGCAAAAATTTTTAAAGGCCTTAAAGATATTAACAAAATGTTAATATTTTGCAAGCATAAGAGCAAGTCCTAAGATATTTTATATAGTTTTTATCCATTTCACAATAGAAAAATGCTTTGTCAACATCTCAATAATTTCAAGTTTTATACCAAAATGAAATCGTCCTTTTAGAAGTCCTAGATAGTAGTGAAAACTGAAACATTAAACGTTGTCTTTGGTCAAAGACAGAGTGAACATCTGTTTTCCTGATCATTTGGACTTTTGAATATAAGCAGAGCCTATTTGAAGTTCAGTATTTCCATGTTGAAACATCCTCAAATACATACCCAAGTCCATCCCTGACTCAGTTCCAGAGCTCTGGGGGCATTTAGAGTGAGCACATCGGTAGGATAGAGAAAGTAAATAAATGGTTTGGGGCCACCAATAGGTCCTTGAAGCTTATTCTCTCCACTTGAGCCCCTTGGAGAGAACAGAGATCATCTATCATGAGTCATGTGGGAATAGGAAAAAAAATTCATTCACTCATTTGTTTGTTCATTCATGTATTAATTAGTCAAGTATGTATTGAATGCCTAGTAAGTGGTACTCTGTTTTGTATGAATTCATGATGCAGATCAGAAATAAGGACTCCATTCACTACACCCCAGCACTTCGTTCTGGGTTCTGAACTCTCCCATATGCACATTCATCTTTGCTACCAATCAGAATCTCCACTCTTTTATGTATCTATTAGTTGATTATAGCAATATCTTCCTTATTCATTCCAAAGACAAACCATGGAATATCTAAACTATTTAACAGTATATGGGCAGACTCTTTGGAGTTCAGGTCTTGACTATCATTCCTCTCCCACAACTTTGACTCCCAAAATCCCAAAGGACATGAAAATCTTCCAGGACACTACACAATGCAGAGCTGGGAGCCTCTGTGAATTCCAAAAGCTATTTGGAGAAAATAAGAATATACAAAACTTTCTCCTGAGGCTCAATCACATTTGTGGGAATCTTTGAGGACAACCTGTAAACTCTATTTGCTCAGTCTAAACTCCTCTTGCTAACCCGTGGACATGGCCTTGACCTCACTCCCTCAGAGCTAAGGTCTGTTAAAACTCACCTGCCATAGGTTCCTCCACCTGTAGATGTATATAACTATTAAAACTCCCCACCAGGAGAACCTTGAGGCCTAAGAGGAAAGCCACAAAAATATGGATAGATTTTTCTGAGCCTAGACTACAGAAAGAAGGGTCAATAAATGGGGCTGTGTGAGTTGAAAAGCTCTGAGATTGGTAGCCAAGAAGTTCCAAGTCTTCCCCAATTCTGATTCTAGCCTTGAGCTCTTTGTGCTCTACTTTCCTCTCAGAAATAGATGACTTTGACTAGTGAAATTTACCTTGAATTTTTCCCAACAAACACCGATTTAAAAAATCAGACTTTCACCAATGTGCCAACCTGAGTGCATTGTCTCCAAAGCCTAGTGATCACTTAATATAATTTTCACTATACTCTTAGAACACTGGTATTATAAGCAATATCTTACAGATGAGTAAGCTCAGTCTCTGAAAGATAGTTGATTGTGTTGCCCATGTTTACACAACTATAATCTCTAGAAATTAAATTTGAAAAAGAATTTCTAAATTCAAATAATAGCAACAGTAGCTGATATTTAGTGTGGAAATACTTACCAAGTATATATATATATGTGTGTGTGTGTGTGTGTGTGTATGTGTGTGTTTGTTATAATATATTTCATTTAATCTTCATAATGATTCTCTAAATCAAGACTTTTCCTTAAACTCTATGCATAGGTGATTAAACTGGATCACTGAGAGGTTACATGTTTGTGCAAGAATTAAGTAGAAGAACTCCCTTGTGTAAATGTACCACATTCTCCCTGTGGAGTAAGGGGGAGTTGCTCTTTTATAAGTGAGTAACACTAGATAGGCTGACTTGAGTCCAGGGGATACACTTGCACAGAGGGACATCTGGGTACAAATGGCAGTCTGGATAGGCCTTAACATATATGACAAAATGCTAAAATTCACTGGGAGAGGGGCAAGGAGGTGTGGGGGAGGGGAACTAAATTTGATTAAGATCAAAAGTTGATTATGAAATGCACAAAAATCAATAAAAATACACATAAAACAATTAAAAAATTAAGTTGAAGAGCATGCTCTATCATTAGAGGGAATATCACACAGCCCCCAATGAGGCTGTTCCAGCAAGTCTTACAGAACAATGTACAGGCAAAATTACTCCATATAACTAAGGCTACTTCAAACCATAGTCTTGGTGACAAGCATCTCATCACTTAACTCATGTCATCATTTAACTAAATTTTCTCTAGGACATTTTCAAAGAGGTCGAAAGCACGTTTTGGGGTGGCACTCTAAAGGAAGGCACTGACTAGAAACCATTCTGGTTTTTTAAAAAATCAGACTTCTAATTTTGACAAGATGTCAATTATGAAACTCCTCCTCCTAGTGGCTTCTGTGACCCACTGAGGAACCCAAGGTGACCTCAGCTTCCCAAGAGAGAACTTACCTGTGTTCCCAGTGGGTGGCTTGTATGTGGCATAAGATCCTGTAGACAATATGAGGCTGGCCTGGATGGGAGGCTGTGTCTCATGCTCTACCTTACAGGTGAGCACTTGACCAGATTTCTGCACTGATGTGTTTAACAACTGCAAGCTTTCCAGATTATAAGACCCATCTTCACTGTGCATGGATATTGGTTGCTCCATTCTCCTGAGCACATGGCAATCCTCCAGCCAGGTGAGAAACACATCCTATGGACAGAATCTCTGCACGTGGCAAATAACAGCCACCAAGCCAGAGAAGGTTAAAGCCTAGGACACTGTCACTGCAGGGGGAGCTGAAAAAGAAGATAATCACTGCAGAAAATCTACTGGGAGTTCCTTAAAGATAGAGTCATCTGTCCAGGGTCCAGCACAATGCCTACCACAAAGGATTTAGGTCACAGTTCATAGATGCATGGATAGGGAAATGTGTGATGGGGTGAGAGTGAGATTTCAAATTTGGAAGGATGAGACTGATGAATGGTATCCCACTTCTTTCCCACTTGTGCTATAAAAAATGAGATATGAAATCCATTTAGAAAACTAAAAATCAGTTGACTTACTCTATGACTAGGTAATTCTGAGATTTGAACATTCACAGGCAAATCTAAGTCTAAGATACTAAGATTTCACATAGGAAAAAATTCTCTTTGTAGAAGATTTCAAATTTCAAAGTTGGGATTACAGCATAGACAAATGTTTTACCATTATTTATAGATACCCAAACTTTAAGGCTGTAAACCTTCTGAAATGAGAATCTAATGACTTCTAGAAATGTTTCAAATGGAGTTATTGGCATGTAATACAATATGTAGAGAATGACAGACATTGGGGGATTTGGAAATTATATAAAATATGACCCATTACAGCAGTCTGCATATGAACCCACAGCATGGTGTAATCAACACAGTCAATTAAGGGCTGGGTGATCTGGATTCAGGGCTCTGCACTAACATCAAAGCCAGCTAGATTTTGTGTAAGTTGTTTTAGCTGTTTCTGAAACTGAACTTGCAACATTTTCTAAGGTCAAAGCAGCTCTCCTAAGTCTAGTTTAGACCAGTTTCCAACCTCGATCTTGGGTAGAATATATACAGCCTTACATATTACAACTTGAAGGAATTGGGGACATTTGACCCCTGAAGTCCTGCTTTCAGACCAAACATGTTCCCTGGGCAAAAACTGGTTAGGCATACATGTTATGCTGAGCAAGGAGAGGGTTGGAGCAGTAGCTAATTTGATAATCAGTTCATTTGTGAATATTTGTGTGTTCTATGAATTTTTCCTATACAATTGCCATTCCTTAGGGGAATTATGCAATAAATATTTGGTTAAAGAGCCTCCCCTCTAGAGCTACATTTCCTATTTGACAGCCAAACACACTGGGGTGGATAACATAACAATTTTCAGGCATAGACAAGAAAGTTGGACAAAGATCAGCTTCCCAATCTGGGCACCTTCAGATTGTTTGAATCTGTTTCTTCTGCAAGAATAAGACAACTATCACAAGGCACCTATAACATTATGCAAGGCAGGCCCCTGCAATGTGCTGTATTGGCTGTATGCTGTGCTTGCTGGAGATGCTGATATTAGTATTTTCCACCATGTAAAACAACATATTTACTTCCACTGTGGTAACACAATCTATTTTGTAGACTCAAAAATGAAGTGGAGGATTTGGAACTCTGTCCCTGAGACTCCCTACAGCCCTGCTATCTTAACTTCCAGACTTCCCTGAGTCACGGGGCTCCTAAACCATCCCAGATCTGTACCCACCTCGTCTTGGCAGAGTGAGACAATCCTTGGCATCTCAGCTCTCACCCAGGATCCTTCTCCACCAGAGATTTGCATCTTGGAGCTCCATCCCTGAGACTCCTTAGGGCCCTGTCATCTGAGCTCACATAGCAGTTTCATCCCACCTTGTTGATACAGGACCCTGTGCAGGCAATCAAGAAATAGCAACTCAAAAATTGAACTTGGGGGCTGGAGAGATGGCTCAGCGGTTAAGAACACTGATTGTTCTTGCAGAAGACCTGGGTTCGAATCCCAGCACCCACAAGGCAGCCAACAACTGTCTGTAACTCCAGTTCCAGGGTATCCAACAGCTTCTTCTGTCCTCTGCGGGCATTGCATGACACGGGCGCACTTACCTACATGCAGGCAATACACGCATAACACATAAAATAAAAATAATAAATTAATATTTTTTAAAAAGTTGAACTTATCCCTAGCTGAACTGAGACCACTTCTTCCACCCAAATTGTACATCAACATAAAGTACCCTCCAAAGTGGACACCAAGCACTACTCAGTTGGGTCATAAAATGATAAGTTCAGGAAACAACAAACAAGCATTCAACAAGATCAAGACATACTACCACAGAAGTCCAGATGCCCAGACCTCAGCAAAAAGACACAAACAACAGGAAAAATAAAGACACTATGTCTAATACAGAAATTAACAGTGCTATCATACTGTTTCCTGAGAATGAAAACAAAGATAATGATTTCAAAATAGCAATTATAAATACATTCAGCAAATTCAAAGAGGTTATGAATAAAAACTGAATGAAGACTATGAAAACACAAATAAATAGTTGAATTAAATACTAAAGCTATTCAAAGCAAAAGAATTCAATAAAGAATTCAATAAAGAAATAGAATCTCTGAAGAAAATCCAATCTGAAGAAAAAAATCTTGAAATCAAAAATGCAGGAACTCAAAAGAAGAGAAAGTGGAGGAAATGGAACAGAGACTAGCAGATCTTTAAGACAAGCTTGAAGAAATGAATTACTTGATCCAAGAAAAATGTCAACTCTAAAATAAGCCAGGAACAGAACATGCAAGACTTCTGGGACACTGTAAAAAGGCCAAGCCTATTGATAACTTTCTGAATGGGACTCCTACAGTGTCGGGACTCAGGTTTGCTTTGCTTAGCAGGGGACCTGCTGGTTTCGGGGCAGAGGGTCTGATCAGTGACAGAGTCATAAACTCTGGGACCTGTGTCTCCCAACAAGATGATTTATTTTATAATTCAGATGGTTTTTATACATCCCAAGGAACCAGCAGTCACGTGGGATATGGCAGTCACATACAAAGATTTAGGGTACAAAGAAACAGGACATTTAGTCTGTTAGTTGGGGCCAGAGGGATTCTTAAACTTTTACTCAAGGTTATCAAAACCCATCCAGTAATTTATTGGCCACAATGTTTTCTTTCTTAGAGCTAAAAGATGGTGAACTTTTAGCTTTTAGCTCAGGAGTAAACCTTGAACCTGGCCTAATCTCTTAGCCAGGGATAGCTGAGTTATTTGTTCAGGACAAGGAGATGAGCTAAGGGTTGTTGACCAAGACACTTTCACAGAGCAGGGAGCCTACACTTATGACCGGAACGCTTCCTCCTGCCAGTCTGGCAGTGTTCTGCAAGACAGGGATTATTAGAGCCACTGTTTTCAGTGCCCCTCCCTTTAGCAGAGAATGCAACCTGGAAATTATAATACAGCGCATTATACATAATACAGCTATTGGAGCTCCCATAAGAAGAAGTACGCCAATCAATATTGGGCCCAAGAATGGAGTAAGCCATTGGAGCCATTTTGGCCAAGGTATAGAAAATTTAGACATCTTATAAATTTTCTTTTGCAAATCATTAATCTGTTGGTCTATAGTATGTGAAAAATTAGATAAATTAAAACAACACATTCCTGGAAATTGTTCAAACCCCATGTGTGTAGCACAGCAGTTCTTAGTTCTCCCATTTCCTGATTAATTTCTCCTAGTACTTTTGCAGTTATGTTTGCTGTTTTACTAGTTATACAAGCAAGATTAGATATCTCATTTTGTAATCCAGTTACCAAACCAGGTATGGGGAGTAAAAAGACAGAATACCTACAGCTTTTGGGTCAAGTAGCTTGAGAGAATCATCACAGTCTTCAGGTAAAGATCTACGCCTTCTTTTTACAGGAGAGGTTATTAGCAAAGGCATTATACGTCCTATAGCACATAATCCTTGATATCCATAAGGCAGTGCTACATAGGTTTCATTATTGCAAAAGAAGGTCCATCCTACAGGCAATTGCTTCCCATGCTTTAAGGTATGATTAGAGGTGGTATTGCAGTGTAAGGGAATAAACTTAAAATCAAAACACAAACAGTGATTAACAATAACATGAGGTACAGGTAAGTCTTTGACTATCTTATCAACACGTTGTGTTTGACTTTCTATATTGTCCCTAGTTATCTGTTTATAAAGATCTGTATGTACCCCCATTCCTATTAGATTTTTCTTTAAAAATCCTGGTATAGAAGGGTCTCCTTGTATACAGAAACTCTGTTTATTATAACCCTTTTGTGCAAGACGAACCCATAAATTCCCATTTAAATCATTAGATTTGGACCAGCTGGTTCGTTGGAAAGATGTAGTTGATCTAACTACTTCAATATCTTTAAAAGGTCTCTTTTAGTTTTTTTTCACAGCTATAATTTCCAGTATCTTCTAAGGTCAGTGCCTCTTTAAAAATACTGAAATCATGCTGTGTTTTTAGGCTCTGGTCAGTAGCATTTTTCCACCAGAAAAATCCTCCATCCATTTGGCTATATATCCTCTGTCCATCCTTTTCCCATATGATGGGTCCAGGTGGCCATGCACAGTTTTGTGTAATACACTCGAGTACTAATATTTATCCTAAAATAGGTACACCATTAACATTAGTATTGATGACACACATTTCAGCTTTTACACTATTCACAGTCAGTATAGTTAGAACACAGACAAGAAGAACTTCAGGTTTAGA